GCGTGCCGTGAAACCCAGTCTGCACCGTTACATAACCGCTTACATTGTTAAAGCTTTTTTTTTTTTTTAACTTAAGTATAGAAATGTATGGCACACTTTGTACTGCATTAAGCTTTAAATCTCTTACTTCAAACGTATTGTGCAAAACGTACTATTTTTAGATTTTAAATAGCCCATTAAGATCCCTACATTTGCACAATAATAAGTTCAAATGTTATCTGAGGATTTGTATAAAGTTATTACATTGTTTTAGTTTTTAGATCCACTCTTAGAGGAGTAATTCATTTCATTCTGTCAGACTTTTTAAAGGTGTACTGTGTAACTTTTCTAGTGAGGGTCTGCTTCTTGCTCGTTGTCTCTGTGGAGATGTTATTCCTTTGCCAATTATAGTAACGTCACCCTTATTTATCTTGCATTTACGATTTAATAGTTGTTTTTATGGTTCAAATAAAAACATGCTTTCTTTTATAGTGAGTGGGATCGCCTCTTCATAGATCTGATATAGTTATAGCCTGTTTTTTAAATGAAACCCAATAAAATCCCAATATTTATACAGTAAAAAGTTCAGATACTATCAGCGGTGTATAAAGCTATTGCATTGTTTTTGTTTTTAGACACTCTTGTATGAATGGTTAGTTGTGTTTATTTCATTCAGTCAGACTTTTAAAGAAGCACTGTGTAACTTTTCTAGTGAGAGTTCGCTCCTTGCTTGTTGTCACCATGGTGATGTTACGATTTTGCCTATATAGCATTAAATGTATTTATTTATTAAACAATTTGTTTTTATGGCTTAACTAAAAACAGTCATTCTTACAGTGAACATAATCGGAAAAGGTGGGAACAAGTCGTCATTTTGCAAATCTCAAGTAAGTCTCAAGTCGTTGACTTCAAGTCCGAGTCAAGTCAGAAGTCAAATACAGGCAAGTCCAAGTCGTCTGCTTTGAGCTTCAAGTCATTTCAAGTCTTTAAACCAAAAAAGTACCAAATACAACTTAGATTTTTGCAATTTATATGAATTTTAAGATAAGATGTACTTATAACATCATGTATACTTACAGACATGCACATTTTTTCCTTTTTAAATGCCTTGACAAGATCTTAGAGGACTCGAGTCAGACTCGAGTCAATATGTTTAGAACTTGAGACTTGACTTGATAAAATGGACAAAGACTTGGGACTCGACTTGGACTTGAGAAGACTTGATGCTTCTCCTAAAAAAATGATATGTTTTTTTGAAAATACTTTTCTCTTAACAGTTGATAAACGTTGTGTTTAATTTTACAGGAACAAACTGGAACATGTCCATCCCACTTCTCTGTTTGTTACTTTGGATGTAACTGAAGTACTGCAATGTAGTATCCTCAAAAGTACTAAAGTAATATACAGTACAATACAGTAAAACAGAAGGAACTACAGAGAACTACATGAAAAAATAACTGTTATTTAGCACTTTTAAATCTTAATTCTTTCTGTTCTGACTGTGATGAGTCACACTAAGATCTCATCCAGACATTTAAAAAGAAAAAAAATTTTTTTTACAACTCTTATATAAATACTCATACAGTATATAAATATACCATGACTTTTTAAAGTACAATTTAGTTTAAAAATCACATAAATTGCAAAAATCTAAGCTATATTTGGTACTTTTTTGGTTTGAGCTCAAAGCAGATGACTTGGATTTAACTTGGACGTATGGGCCAGTGACTCGAGACTTGACTTGGACTTGCTTGTATTTGACTTGGGACTTGACTCGGACTTGAGCTCAGAGACTTGAGACTCGCAAAACGACGACTTGGTCCCACCTCTGCCATTACATAACCACTTACATTGTTAAAGCGTGTTTTTATTTTTTTTATTTAGTTCGTTTAATTAAATAAAACATGTTTTCATGGCTCAAATAAAAACAGTGAACGGGGTCGCCTCTTCGCAGATCTGACCGTCACCATGGAGACAATTTTACACCATTACATAACCACTTACACGGTTAAACCATTTTTTTTTTTGTACTTAAGTATGTAAATGTATGGCACGCTCTGTACTGCTTTAAGCTCTAAATCCTTTATGTGTAAAAAGCAGTGGCGCCCCAAAGAAAGACTTCATCCCACAGCTGGAATTACAAAGTGCTCCGTGAGAATTTCAGGATCTTTATATCTTTGCACAGGCCACATACAGACAGACAGATACGGGAGATTATGTTAAGTCTTATCTTATGTCTTTCTTCAGATGATGGTGGAGGATTATATGGAGCAGAATGAAGCGCTCGTGTCAGGGGGGCAGGTTCACATGGGGCACTGAAGCATCTGAGAGACACAACGGACAGATGAGTGCTCCACTAATACATATTTTATACATGTTTTTTTCAATATTTGTCCATTAGTTTAGTATTCAGTTTGGGTTTTGAATTTACATTAATGGAAAAAAATGGGGAAACAAATTTTGAATACAGTTTAGTTGACAATTTCACAATAATACATGTTTTTATGGCTCAAATAAAACCATGCAGGCGTACACTGAATGGGATTACATAACCACTTACCTATAGCATGTTTTTATTTATTTATTTATTTTTATCTCATGCATTTGAGAGAAACAGAAACAGTAATGGTCCATTAGTTTAGTATTCAGTTTTGGTCTTGAATTTACACTAATAGAAAACAATTGGGGAAAAACTACATGGCAATTTTTCTTCTTTAATCCGACTTCCACTGAAACTTTATACAGAAAACAGCTTCAAAATTAACCAAGTGAGTTTTTTCAAGTTGATAACGTTTACATTTACATTATATTACTTGTTTTGCAGTGATTTACCAGCTATAATGAAATACGATCGCACTCGTCGAGCGTCAGACCTCGAGTCCGAGACCAGACTGAGACCAAGCGCCATCAAGACCGAGACAAGGCCGAGTCCAAATGTACTCGAGTCCAAGACCGTAAAAAAAAGCGGTTTCAAGGCCAAGACCGGTCTTGAGTACTACGACACTAGTGGAACCGAGTGTTTTTAGTTTGTTTTCAATTTGAGAGAAGAACTTAGCCTAAATATGAAGGATTTGTGCATTAAACATGTGAATGAAACAAAACACAACTCTGGGTTTGTTTTTGACGAGGAAACAACATTATAACATTGATAGAAAAGCATTTAATGGTTCATGGTTCGGGAAATCTGCAAGAACATGCAAACTCAACATGGAAATTCAATCCACAACCTTTTTGCTACGAGGTGTGATCGCAACTGAGCCTCCTGCTTGTCTCTGTCCATGGAGATGCTATTTATTTGCCTAGAATGTTACACAATATGGCATTAAACCTATCTAATTCCAATGAGACAAGCAGGTGAACCCAGAAAACAAAGTCACAGGTCAAACCAATGGAGCGGTGACACCCTAACAGTAAAAATGCATGTTTTTCCAGTTATTTTTGCTCAATTAAAACATGTACAATTAAAAAAAGCATATGCAAAGTTGAATAAAAGTCTACTGCCATATTGTGAAACAGAAACAGTAATGGTCCATTTGGTCTTGAATTTACACTAATGGAAAACAACTTGGAAAACTACATGGTAATTTTTATGGATTAAGTTTGGTTGATGATTGGTTTATTTTACCCAAATTTCGTGTAATGCCTGGTTAACCATTTTCCAATACGCTGAATTTGCAATTGAACATCTCATTAACCTAATATAAAATAGTCTAGACCTTTTTGAAAATTAATTTATTGCAATACGCATTTCTGCCCTAATAATTTAAAACAGGGGTCTCCAACCTTTTTTCTCCAGTGAGCTCCCTTTACAAAATGAAACTGCCAGAGAGCCACTGTACCAATTTCAGCAGTTGCAAAGAAACTGAATAAATATAAGAGCAACGGCGAGTCTTAGATGGGGAACAGTAAGATGCTTATAAAACATAAACCATTATCCATTTATCTGTGCACCAAGTCAGGCATCAAAATGACACATTTACAATGGTAATTAATCAAATTGTACTTATTATGCACAGTACGTATAATTCAGAAATCCCTTGACGAGCTCCTTGTAAGGGGGTGGAAAGCTCCTGGTAGCTCCTGAGCTACAGGTTGGAGACCCCTGTTTTAAAAGACCTAAGTAAATTAAATAGTCTCAATGCAAGTTAATTTACTTTTAAAAAACCAAACCAAAGTGCTTCACATGAGAGTTACGAGCAAAAACAGTACAATCAGAAATAAATTACACTAAATACAAAGAAAAAGAGATCGCGGATACAAGCGCTCGAAATGAGTTTCCTCCGCAGGGTGGCTGGGTGCTCCCTTAGAGATAGGGTGAGGAGCTCAGTCACACGGGAGGAGCTCGGAGTAGAGCCGCTGCTCCTCCACGTCGAGAGGAGCAGTTGAGGTGGCTCGGGCATCTGTTCCGGATGCCTCCTGGGCGCCTCCCTCGGGAGGTGTTCCGGGCATGTCCCACCGGGAGGAGGCCACGGGGAAGACCCAGGACACGCTGGAGGGACTATGTCTCTCGGCTGGCCTGGGAACGCCTCGGGGTCCCCCCGGAGGAGCTGGAGGACGTGTCTGGGGTGAAGGAAGTCTGGGAGTCCCTGCTTAGGCTGCTGCCCCCGCGACCCGGCCCCGGATAAGCGGACGAAAATGGATGGATGGATGGACAAAGAAAAAGTACAATAAATTACTAAAAAAAAGATAATAAAAAAGATATCTTGCCTAGCTATTATTAAATGCCAGGTAGACTAAATTTAAAGGTTTTTGTTTATTTTGCAATATATGTTGGAATAAACATAAATCTATTAATATTTTGTATTTCCATGTATTTTATGTTTTATGGCATCTTTTAATAATTAACTAAACAAGACCAACGTTATTAATTTAATTAGGATTTTTTTTTTTTAAACTTCCCGGAACATTTTTGATTAGTTTACGCTTATTATACTGAAAACTAAAAAAAAAAAAGTTTATAAATTTTATTTTACCTGACGTGTACGTGGTCCAGGTGAGCTGCGTCGCGTAAGCCCCGCCCACCGTCACCTTAAAACTCCGGTCCGCGCTGTGATTGGCTCATTCAGTCCCAGCTGCTCCCACTGTGAACCATGGCGGAGTCAGCAGCCCCGAGTCTGCGAACAGCGCTCGGAAAGTGCACAAAAACTTAACAACATGTCGACGAGAAGTTGCTTTTTTACTCCGGAATGTCTCCTTAGCGATCACCGGGTGGATGTTTAGCCGAAGGAGGCGCGTTTTTGCGGGGAAAGGGGCGAGAAAGTGCGGGAGAAATGTGTTGTCATCTTGGACTGAGTAGACTTGGAAAACAAACATGGCTACTACTACTTCTTGCGGATCTTTCCCTGATTTGGACCACCGCTTCCCGTCCGGACTCGGCTTCTGATCGGCTCTCAATCGACAATCTCCGGAACTAGCGGCGAACACTTTAAAACCGCGGATTTACCGATTTGTTTTGGTGCTTTTTAGCGCTAAAATCGACGCAAGAAATGGAGCCTGCACATAAAGAGTTGCTGGAGAAATTTTACCCGAACTTAGTGGAGGATATCACGGATGCGGATCGGCTCGTGGACACGCTGGTTCAGTCCGGAGCCTTGTCCCAGTCGGAAGGCTTCGAGGTCGGACACAACTGCTCGTCCAACTCGGAAAAAGTGGACCTTCTATTGAAAATACTGCTGAGGAAGGAAAGAGACTATTTCTTGGAGTTTTGCACGGCTTTGGAGACGATCAATCCACGCTTGCATTCGCTGATCGTGAACGGGACGGGACCAGTGGATCACACGACTGGTGAGCAACTTTTTTTAAGCTTTGTTTTTATTTTATTTTTTTTTGCAATTTCGGTAGCGTGAAATAAAGCAGTGCAGATAGCGTAGCTGCAGAAACGTCCTCAAAGCGCAGGGCTACGTTGGCAAAACCACTGTAGTGTAAAAAACGAGCAGATTCCTGAAAATATTTGCAGAAAAACATGCAAAACCCGCTAAAAAGCAACGAAAAAACAATGCATGTGAACTAAACAGCACTTGGCAACACGTAAAGACGCAATACGTAACATTTCTACATGCAGTTACGTCAAGAAACTATGTGTAATTGTCTTGTAAATGTGTATTAACATAAAACAAGATAGTTTTGCAGTCTATTTGACAGCTGGAAATCAGTAACTGAACACAGAAAAACATGCAAAACTCTATAAAGCAAAGAAAAAACGATGCATGTGAACTAAACAGCACTTGGCAACACGTAAAGACGCAATACGTAACATTTCTACATGCAATTACGTCAAGAAACTATGTGTAATTGTCTTGTAAATGTGTATTAACATAAAACAAGATGGTTTTGCAGTCTATTTGACAGCTGGAAATCAGTAACTGAACACAGAATAAACACGCAAAACTCTATAAAGGAGCGAAAAAACAATGCATGTGAACTAAACAGCACTTGGCAACACGTAAAGACGCAATACGTAATATTTCTAGATGCATTTATGCAAATATATGATGTGTTTATGGCTTATAAATGTGTATTTAGATGAAAACACTAACTTCATGGAGTATTTATTATTATTTATTTATAACTGAGAAAAATATGCAAAACTCACTACAAATCAACGAAAAAACAATGCAAGTGATCAAATTGGCACTTATCAACACGTGAAGACACAATATGCAATATTTCCAGACGGAGTTACGTAAATAAATTAATAATAAATAACTGTTTATGTCTTGTAAATGTGTATTAAAATGAAACATTTATTAACTTGCCATGAGATGGTTTTGCAGTTTATTTGACATAGCCTGAAAGCAGTAGCTGTAATACACAAAAGTCTCGAAAAAGCAATGCATGTGAACAAACTGGTACCTGGCAGCACTTAAAGACGCAATACGTAGCATTTCTAGATGCAGTTACGTTCAATAAATTCTGTATTTTTGTCTTGGAAATGTGTATTAATGTTATTAGTGTTTCATTTTGCCATAAAATAGTTTTGCAGTCTGTTTGACATAGATGGAAAACAGTAGCTGAACTCAGAAAAACATGCAACACTCTCTAAAAAGCAACAAAAAACAATGCAAGTGATCAAATTGGCACTTGGCAACACGTAAAGACTCAATACATCGTGTTTCTAAATGGAGTTACTTAAATAAATGACTTGTTTATGTCTTGTAAATGTGCACTGAAATGAACCACTTGCGAACTTGTCATGGGGTAGTTTTGCAGACACAATACATAGCATTTCTAGATGCAGTTACGTTAATAAATAATGTGTTTTTGTCTTGTAAACGTGTATTAAAATAAAACCTTTATTAACTTGCCATAAGATAGTTTTGCAGTTTATTTGACATAGTCCGAAAGCAGTAGCAGAAGTCAGAAAAACATGCAAAACTCACTAGAAATCAAAATCAAAATGATACTTGGCAACACGTAAAGATGAAATTACGTAAATAAATTATGTGTTTTTTGTGTTGTAAATCTGTATTGAAATGAACTACTTGCTGACTTGTCATAGGATAGTTTTGCATTTTGTTTGCTATAGCCTGAAAGCAGTAACTGAACTCAGAAAAATATGCAAAATTCTCTTAAAACCCAACAAAAAAAAACAAACAATGCGTGTGAACAAACTGGCTCTTGGCGATACGTAAAGATGCATCCATAATGCAGTTACGTCAATAAATAATGTGTTTTTATCTTGTAAACGTGTATTGAAATGAATTAGTTGCTAAATTTAGTAGTAGTTTTGCAGTTTATTTGACAAAATATGCAAAACTCATTAGAAATCAACGGAAAAAAAACAATGCATGTGAATATGTTAGGTGCATTTTAACCGTTCTAATGTGTATTGAAGTGAACCACACACTTGCAGACTTGTCGTAGAGTAGTTTTGCAGTCTGTTTGACATGGCCTGAAAGCAGTAGCTGGACTCGTAAACACTCCCTTCCATGTAAACAAAAGGACAGTGTGCAAAGCTACTGTCAACGCTAAATTATGAACAAGTTGCCCGTGTGCATATATACTGAATAAAGTGTTTAAAACGGGCTAATCAATATGAACTGAATCAGCGTAGAAATAATGTATAACTCAGCCAGTCTTACTAATTCCAGATGTGCAGATTTGACAGTCCCTCCTCCCTGCGAACTGATCTGAAGAGCCACAATTATAGCCCGTTGCGTGTATAAATAGCGAAATACTATAGGCTGAAATCGCCCTGCAATCGTCAACAAAGCAAAAAGTTTAAATATAGGCTTCTAGGAGTTGAAGCGATTTACAATAATCTCACATTTCTTTAAAATCCGTGTATCGTTCGTTCATTCGTTTTTCAATATAAAACCAAAAATAAGAAAACAAATAAATAACTGTTTTCTTTATAATTTGTCTCCAAAACCAAAATGAAAAAACGGATAATGATTTGTTTTTTCAGTTTTCGATTTTGTGTTTAAATGAAAAAAGTTTCCCTTTGCCAGATGTCAGACTAAAGCAGGACTGAATCAGGACTGAATCAGGACTGAATCAGGACTGAATCAGGACTAAAGCAGGACTAAAGCAGGACTAAAGCAGGACTAAAGCAGGACTAAAGAACAGGACTAAACAGGACTGAACCAGGACTGAATCAGGACTGAATCAGGACTGAACCAGGACTGAACCAGGACTGAACCAGGACTGAACCACGTCTAAACTGTTTTCAGTCCTGGTCTGGTCCCGGTCTTGGTCCCGGTTTCGGTGTTGGCCTCGTCCCGGTCTCAGTCTCGGTCCTGGTCACAGTCCCGGTCTTGGTGTCTGTCCTGGATCCTTTTATTGCTGCTTCAATTACTGTTTTTTATTGAGTAATACTAATTGTTCGGAGAGACACAATCACTCAGTCATCAATAAATTATCCTCATTAATGTTCAGTAATGCTCAAATCCACGTTTATTTTGTGATTTACGAATAATGTCTATTGACTTGGATCGCAAAGGTTTGTCACTTTTACAATATTTAAAATATGGGTCCCCAGAAAAAAAGTTTTCTGTGACTGCGATGCCGGACTGAACCAGGACTAAACTAGGACTGAATCAGGACTAAAACAGGACTAAACCAGGACCAAGAGACTAAAAACTGGACTAAACTAGAACTATACCAGGACAACATCAGGACTAAAAACGGGACTTAACAAGGACTAAACCATGGCTAAACCAGGATAATATTAGGACTAAACCAAGACAGGACTAAACTAGTACTATACCAGGCCTAAACCAGGATAATAGCATGCCTAAACCAAGACGTTTTCGGTCTTGGTCCCAGTTTCGGTCTAGTCTTGGTCTTCCCAGTCTTGGGTCTTGGTCTTGGTCTGGGTCCTGGTCTCGGTCCTGGTCTCGGTCCTGGTCTGGTCCTGGTCTGGTCTTGGTCTCTGGTCTGGTCTGGTCTGGTCCTGGTCTTGGTCTCTGTCCTGGTCCTGGTCTTGGTCTCTGTCCTGGTCCTGGTCTCGGTCTCTGTCCTGGTCCTTTGGGAAACACTGGGCTAGTAGTTTTTATACAGAATAAGGCAGGATATTTTGTCGTTTATGAGGAAATTCTTGTTCTTCAAAATCTGCTGCCTTTCAAATTTGTTAATTGCGTTCAAATTCCAATCGATTCAAATGAATCTTCCAGTACCGGGAGAAAAAATCTAAGAAAATACTGTAATTTTGTGTTGAAAATGACCACTATATTGTCTAAAAATGTACATACTGGTATCAAAATGAAGAAAGTTTGAAGTATAAACACTAATTTTGCGTTAAACGTGAATCATCTTGCATTATCTGTCTGTCTGTATTTCCTTTTGGCATTCTGGTGTTTGCAATGACGTTACATCTTTTATTTTGGTTAGCGTCCAACTTGTCTTCGATCCAGCGCTAATCTAACTAAAAGTATTGACCAAATGACAAACTGATGAACTTTTTTGCTTTGGGGCCGTGAGCAGCAGCAGCAGCAGTCGTAGTAGCACCACCACCACCACCACCGTCATGTGACTCTGTTCTTACCCCCGCACACTGGAGAGGTTGTTTTCTATCTAAAAAGCGAGCACACACAGCCAGCCTATGCGTTTCTATGTAGGCCTATTATAATGCTGTGGGCAAGCCTTGTGTCCGAGTATTTGACGGCGCTAAAGAGGCCAAAACTATCAATAGAACGACAAAATGGGTCCGTGTGAGTCAGTACATCGACGGTCAAATTAAACAACGATAATGAAAACACTGGAGGCATTTAAAGCGCGCATATTACGCTATTTTCTGATTTGTGTTATAAATCAGTGTATCATTCGTTGATTCGTTTTTCAATATAAAGCCAAAAAGAAGAAAAAGAAGAATGAACTGTTTTCTTCGTTATTTGTCTCCAAAACCAAAATGAAAAAACAAGATAACAATTCTTTTTCAGTTTTTGATTTTGTGTTTAAATGAAGAATGGAAAAAAAAACAGATAACGGCCGTTTCCCGTTTTCGTGACTTAAACTGCGATGGCGAACTTTTGTACCGCATATGGACTGAACCAGGACTGAACCGGAGATCGGGGACGGGGGACGGAGATCGGGGACGGGGGACGGAGACGGGGACGGAGACGGGACGGAGACCGGGGACGGAGACCGGGAACGGAGACCGGGGACGGAGACCGGGGACGGAGACGGGGACGGGAGACGGACGGAGACCGGGGGACGGAGTCGGGGACGGTGGTGGGGGACGGAGACCGGGACGGGGGACGGAGACACGGGACAGGGGACGGGACCGGGGACGGAGACCGGGGACGGGGGATGGAGACCGGGGACGGGGGACGGGGATGGGGACG